TTCTAAAGCTTTTACAAATGTTTAAAAGATCCCCCCCAAAGAAATCTATCTTATTTTGTGATTTCTAAAAATCAAATTATATTAAATCCAGCCAGTTTACAAGCTTAAATTTTCCAAAGGGCCTGACCTGACCTTTCTTTAATGCACTAGAACTGGCACGACACTCCCCTGTAAAAGCCCCACTGAGCGAGCCTCAGCTGCAAGAAGTCTCTAATAAAAATGTCTCCAGCATTTCACTTTACAACCCCACTGTGAGTTGCTGTGTTAAAAAACAGCCCTTGGCTCCAGATCAGCTTGATTAGCTCTGCCTGAGTTGGGGTGAGGAGGCCCAGCTAGCAGAAAACTATTGTTCTAGTTACGTGTTTACCAAGGATCCCACACAAAGTCTGCTTGCTGAGGCCAAGCCGGCGAAGCCGTCGGACTCGAGCTCAAACGCAGCGAGGGAGGCAAAGGTCCCGTGTGACCATCTCCTGCTCACTTGGGCTGTCCCCAGGAGAGGAGGATGTTCTTGGGTAGGTCCACTTGCCTCTCCAGAAAGACGGGTGCAGTCAGAGCTCAGGGAGTTGAAGGTCGGCTCTAGGGGTCCCTACACCTCCCCACCCTGCTTCCTTCAGTTCTCTGTTGAGATTCGTGGTTTCAGTTAAGTGCTGATAGATGCCTCATCCCCTCTAGGTCCTGCCTGCCTATGGCTACGTGCACAGAAGATTCTGGTTCTAAGATAAGCAGGGCCTCAATCTGATCTTAATGCTTTTCCTTAATTTGAGGATTTTAATAAGCAGGCTCCAAAGATACTCACATTTTAGCCTTTTCTATCCAGAGAAACAGCAACATCTCCACATTGCAAACCTAACAGCTTATTTATCTTGGTATCATTTATCTCCTGCTCTTCAATTATATCAGCAACCGCTGAATCCTGTAATTTCTGTAACATCCATTCATTTTCTTTATTGTTCCTTTCTGTTAAGCCCAAAGAAATGAAATTCTCTCATACACAAAGGTGGACCCAGGCATTTAACATATCATTTTCAGACTCAGAGTTTACGAGTACCTCGCAGGTGCTAATGCAGGTGTGGTTACCAACGAAGTCCTCACACCTGCAATTTATGTAAGTGGATAATGGCGACACACACCTGAAAATCACCATCTACAACTCTGCCTGACATTCTAACCGCTAACCCCACATTCGAATTTTTAATACACAGTGAAAACGATATAAATGACAATTCCATGATCACGCTGTAGTTTGTTTTTCTATGAGCAGGATGTCTGGCATGTAGTGGGGCATTTAATAAATGCTTGCTGATTGACTAAATAGACATATGCCTTATCTCCCCCTACCAGACCCAGAGCTCCTTAAAGGCAGATGACACAAGGTCTTATTTACTCTTTGTATCTCCCATAGAGCTTAGCAAAGTATATCCGCACACAGTAGGTGTTTCATAAAGGTGTGATGAATGAACTTTGTTATTCTGTTGTTATTTTTTTAAATAGTCAATAAAGTATGACATCCTTCAGGCACAAAATAAACAAGTAACACAAATGATACATAATCTAACAAAGAAATTTAAAGGGTTGGCAAATTCATCTATTCTCCTACAAACAGGGAGATTGTTTGAGTGGATTTTTCAACACCAAATCCTCCCTTCAACAGAGCACAATTCCCTTAGAGATCACTAAGCCCTCAACTAGAGAAAGCCAAGGCCTCAGGAGTGAAACATCTAGGACTCACATAGATCATAAGCTAGTACAAAATGCTAAGACCTTAGCCAATAAAACCCAATAAAGCAGAAACAGAGGCGAGAACAGGGGAGACAAAAATCAAAGGAAAAGGATTTCTCCAACTACTTAATTTTCGGCACACTTGAATTTCCAAAGGCCCACACAATCAGGGTACCTTACTGTTAGTTACGAATTTGGCATAAAGAGCTAAGCAAACAGGTTTTCTCTAAGGGCATTCATATAGTTTACAATGCCAATTCGACAAAACTGGCTCAATTTCATTAAAATCCCAAGGGACCTTCATTTAAAAAAAAGGACTTCTACAATAAAAATAAAAAGCAGCAGGACGTTCCATTCGACAGAAGGGTTTTTTCTTGTTTCAAAAACAAAAACACCATGAGAAAAAATGAAAATGCTATTTATTTTTATTACTTCACCTTTCATTTTAGCATTCAAAAAGTAAGCCAATTCTATCAACTACAAGCCTTCAGTAGGCATTTACTCTGAAAGCCTCACAAAATCCTGGCCACCTGAGGCACTGCACATTATCCAAGAGCTGTAATCAAGAATATTTTCCAATACTTATACATACTCTCTCTAAACCAGACTGGAAAAAAAAAAAGAAGTAAATCCAGCTGACCAAAGGGGGAAGATTTCTAGTAGACAATTGGACTACTGTGTTGTAAATTAGCTTGTTCACACCTGCAGAATAATCTCACCAGCATAACCAATCTACCCTGAAATGCAGCCCTGTCGTCTAGAATGGGGGACGTCTTTTTCTACAAGATGATATCTGTAACTGATAAACTCTTTGGACGAGAGAAGCAGCAGCAGATGTGAAAGCCACATGGCCCTCTCTCTACAAAGCAGGAGAATAGAAAGCAATGCTCAAAGAAATGATTTCTTAAACAGCAGTTCCCTATCAAGAGAAAGATTTTATCTTCTAATGCTGACTTTTTATAAAGCAGCTATTAAACCCTATCCCAAGATTACAACTAACAGGACCCGGCTGAAATCCAGCAATCGGGCCCATCTAGCTACACTTTTATTTTCAGCTTTTGGGAATAGAGCCAATATGTAAAGTTAGACTCTAACAAATCAAAAGCCCAGTGAGGATGAAAGTCAATACAGGTTTCCCTCAATTAATGGAAAAATTCAACAGAATTTCCATAAAGTAAATTTCCATTGAATGAATCTTCTTTTCTAATCCATCTTCATCATATACTGAAGATGTGTTCTTCATGGGATCTCAGACCCAGAGCTGAAAGGGTCTTCAGAGGTGGTCTATTTTTGCTACGAAAAAATCTGTATTGATTCAATACAAATTCAAAAATCCAACCTGATGTTTAAAAAAAAGACCTTTTGGAACATAGTAAGCCTTCTCAAATTCATATTTTAAAAATCATAACTTCCCACTAAAATGTTAAAAATAAGACTGTGCTAAAATAAGGGGACGGGACAGGTATGGGAACTGGACCCGTGATTTCACTGGGATAGGGAACTCCCAGGTAAGGAAACTCCCTCTACCAATGCAGGTCAGCAGCTTCTCTGCATCTTAGATTCTTTGAGAGTTGCTTAGAACAGTGATGTCAAACTCAAATAGAAACAGGGCCATTAAATCATACATAAGGATCCCTACTGATGGCATATGGACTTACAACACTACACAGTAACACAGTGGATAGAGTGTCAGGCCTGGAGTCAGGAAGAACAGGGTTCAGTTCTGGTCTCAGATACTTTCTTAGCTGTGTGACCCTGGACAAGTCACTTGACTTTGCTTGCCTCAACCTCCTCATCTGTAAAATGAGCTGGAGAAGGAGCCAGGAAAACCCCAAATGGGGTCACAAAGAGTCAGACACGACAGAACAAAAAAATGTTCTATTGTATTTTTAGTTATTTTGCAAAATATTTCACTATCTGGTGTGTGTTTGACTTTAGGATCACAGAGCTGGAATGTGTCAGAGGAAGGGGTCTTAACCAGGGTCTTCCTGGCTCCAAGGTCAGTCCTCTATTAACTATGTCACCTCTGGTAAAACAAGATCACAAAACAGAGAGAAAACCTGACCCCTAAGCTCCCCCTAAAGCTATCCAAAAGAAGGAACGGGTTGTTTGTCTGGGAGATTAGGGGTATCCCTTCCCCAGAGATCTTCAAGCACTTTTGGGGTGCTATGGAAGAAATTCATGTCTGGGTCTGGATGATCCCTGAGACTTGCAAAATTCTTTCCAATCAGGGCAGAAGCAGTGATCAATAAAGTTTTAGGAATTTCACTAAAGTCACAAACCCCTTTTAGTATTTCTAACTTCATAGTCCTTTGGTTTTTGTGCATAACTCTCTATTATTTAAACTATCCTCTTTCTAACATCTTTTTCTGGGAATACATGAACAATTACAGTACCACAGAATGGGAGAAGGAAATAACACATACTATGGAAAAGTTTAATCCTTGCTTGGCAATGGAGACTCCCTCCAGAGTCTGTGGGTAGTTAGTCAACAGACTGCCTGACCAAGATTTTAAAAAAGTAATCTTGTGCCTGTGCTATTTTTGCTCCCAACATCATCGTTTATTTAACTATTGGCAGGCATCTCTCCAGTAGACTGTTAGCACACCAATAGCACAAGCGACTGAACCTTGCAGCATAGTGATCACTGTCATGTATTTTCTCCATGTAACAAAGGGAGCCAAGTATTTGAGACGGCAGCAGCTCACTGTGGTAATACTGACAATGTGGTAAGTACAAAGCACAGTAGGTGCTTTGTTGTTGTTGTTCAGTCTGTGTCCAATGCTTCATGGCTCCATTTGGGGTTTTCTCAGCAGAGATACTGGAGCGTTTTGCCATGTCCTTCTCCAGCTCATTTTACAGATGAAGAACTGAGGCAAATAGGGTAAAGTGACTTGTCCAGGGTCACACCACTAAGTGTCTGAGGCCTGATTTAAACTCAGGAAGATGAGTCTTCCTGATTCCAAGCCCAACACTCATACCACTTTGCCACCTAGCTGCCCCAGTAGGCACTTAATAAGTGTTTATTGAATTAAACTGACAAAGGAGTAGTGTAAAACATCCAAATTCTTCAAAGTGTAGAGGGTGGTATTTTTTCAAATGCATTCACAAAGATTCATTAATTCCATAAATGTTTAATTCTGTTCAGAAAAAATGTTATTAAATGAAACCTACTCTATTTATAGTTAAGCGTTCTCTGACATAAAACTGAAATTATTCAGATACCTATTGCTAATCCCAGTGACTGGAAAAAAAAATGACATCAGATAGGTAGGACTTACCTGAGCACACCTTCCCAGCTCAGCCCTGCCCAGATACTGAAATATCTTTACTGCCAGTTCATAAGGTAGCTGGATGTCGAAGAAGGGGATCTCGTTGATTTCATTCTGAAAAGAACAAAATAAAATCATTAAACATAAGCTTCATATTCCACAGCATGAAAACAGCTCATAATTAGTGTCCAGGTAATTACTAGGCATCCATTCTTAGGTAGAAACAAGAGGTTGTGCTGTTTTCTAACTGAAGAGACAAATTCTTGCTATTCCACAGATCAGAAGCATGCAACTAATTCAGGGCTTAGCAACCTTTTTCAGATCCCTGACCCCTCAGGTAGCCCCTGGCCAACTCCACTGTGCATTTTCAGAATCTTAGAGACCAGTTCCCACAATGCTTCAAAAAGGCAAAAACAGGTTCCCACATTACAAGCTAGGGAGCACGGCAGGAATCCGTGCAAAGCTTCACCCACCTCAAGGGGGGTGCCTCCTGTTTCTACAAAGGCTAGAGCAGCCGATGGCAAAAAAAAACAGAGGCCTCAGAATCCAGGCATCCAGGAGCGAGAAACAGCTCTGGCTTCCAAGACAACCGCTGCTACCCCCAACTTGGAGGGTGAGACCCACACACTGAGAAAGGCTGATCTAATTCACTAAGTGTTTTCATTAGGAAAAAAAAAAAGAGCAGGGTTGCGAAAAGGAATAAAAAGTAAATAAATAAAATGCTACTCTTAATTGAGGTAAATACCATCTTCCCTTTGCTGCTAGAAGAGCAGAGTTTCCTAATGCACTCAGGGGATTACACTGGTTAACCTGAGTGGGCCAATGCAAACAAAGCATTTCTTCTACTGTGTCATTTATTAATGCCGAGAAATTAGAGCTTTCTTGTCTTTAGTTAAGCAATTAGAGATGAGGTAACGGGCTTGATTTGAGAGAAAAGGCTGTCATGAAGTGCCTGCCTACAAAGAGAAACCAAAGTGTCAGAACAAAAAGAAAAATAGATCCTGTGCTCTCTTCCACATACACTGGCCTCATTTAATTTTATACTGGGCAAAAAAATCACGCTCCGCATTCCACCAGCAGGTATATACTTAATAAAACGCAATCTTAATCGGCTGTGGCTGACTTCGGTGGTTTAGCATCACGATAGACCAATCACTAATTCACCATTCCAAAGAATACATCCTTATTTGCAGAGTGGCTCTAGGCTTCAAATAGACTCACAGTCTCAGCTTTTAAAGAAAATATGGTTGTACATAGCAACAGCAACATTGTAAGGATGGTCAACTGTGAAAGATTTGGCCACTCTGATCAAGACAGTGATCCAAGGCAATTCCAAAGGACTTGTGATGAAAAATGCTATTTATCTCCAAACAGAGAACTTTTTAACTCTCTTTATTTTTATTTTGTTTGTGTTTTCCTTTGCAACATTGCTAATATGGAAATATGTTTTGCATTACTTCACATGTATAACCGATATCAAATTGCTTGCCTTCTCAAGGATGATGGAGGAGCAGAAGGGAGGGAAAGAATTGGGAACTCAAAATGTAAAAAAATGATTGTCAAAAAAATTTTACATGTAATTGGGAAATGTTTAACAAAATAATTAAAAATATGTTTTTTAAAAACTGAACTTAAAAAACGTGTTTTGAACTTCCTCAAACTTAAGTCTGGAGAATCCCTGGAAATGTTCCAGTTCACGTAGGAGTCTGAGGCATGTGGGAGCACCAGTGCAAAGGCATGGAAACAAGAGGAGGAGAGTTGTATGCGTGGAAATGAGAGCAGGCCAGTTTGGCTGAATCACCAAGTGCTGGAGGGGAAACAGCATCGAGGGAGGCTAGAAAGAATAAGATTCAGTTACAGTAAAGCATAAGGGGTCAAATATTAAGGCCAGAAGGTGTAGCCAGGCAAGAAAGGAGAAAGATTTGACGTAATTTGTGGGGTAGAAAGGATGAGAGATACGATAGTGAGAGAGAAGCACTTGGGTGTACAAGAAGAGAAAAGAAGGTACTTGCAAAAGTTCACATGCAAAGGAGGGCCTTGACCAAAAATAATAGGATGCCCTTCATGAAAAGCAGTGTTTCTCCAACTATGTTTTATTAGCCTCCGAGGGAATCAGAAAACAACTCCAAAGGGGTCCATGTGTGAGAGAAGAAAATGTGTGAGGAGATAAATATAAATTCTGTGAGTTACTACTAAGGCTAGAACAGGCCTCTGGGACAAAACGCCAAGTGAACGGCAGGGGGTCAGTCCTACCAGAGGACCTGGAGGGAATCCCGTTTCTGTTTTTTCTTAAGTGCCGGGCTTGGCTACCAAATCACCAAGGTTCTCCACCCTAACTCAGGGTTAAGAAAGGATTAAGAGCGTTAAATATTTCTTCTCATTACACAACCAGGGCACGTGCTGAAGTAAGTCCATCACCCTCTTCCTAAATAAGCCTGGTCTTGTTCTCCCCTCTCAGAAACGTCAGGCCTTGCTGGTGCTTTCTTTCAGAGAAACCACTTCCACAGTCCTCATCTCTCACCCGGCTGCACTCACTGCTTTGGGATTTCTCTGACCAAGTTCCCCACCATGCCCCAGGATAACCTCATCATCCTGTAAGATCTCATCAGCGCCCTCTGCCTGTCAGATTGGTGACGGCGGGTGGGGCCATGAACTCCAAACCCTCACTCAAGGAGGGAGCTCAGCTCAGCACATCTCCTTCTTGAAAATGGCTCTAGGCCATCTCTGACTTCGCTGCTAAGGCCCTGCCTTGGGTCCATTCTCCTCCTCCTTTTCTTCCCCTCTCCCCACACCTCTGTCTTGTCTACCCCCATTAGATCATAAGCTCCTTGAGGCCAGGGACCGTCTTTTTTTCATATTGGTATACTCAGTGCTTAGCATTGTGCCTAAAACATGTCAGGCCCTTAATAAATGTTTATTCCAAAGTGGCTTGCTCCCCCCAAGTTCTGGGTTTAACATGTTCAAGGCAGAAATCATCTTCTCCCCCTTACCCTGACCTGTTGCCGTTCTGAACTTCCTGTTTGGAAAGCACTGCCATCTGTTTAGATCCTCACTGGTTCAGTGACTCACTCTCCCTCCCCCCACGTATCCAGTCACTAAATTTTATTGTGGCCAACGTCACAACACGTCTCCCTTCTGTTTTCTTCTCTCCACGTACAGGCCACTGCTCCAGTTCAGGCCCTCTCACTTGTCCAGACAATCATATAATGGCCTTCTACTTGGTCTAGCAGCCACCAGGCTCTCTTCACTCCAACCTCTCCTCCATAGAGTGTACAAAGTGATTTTCCTGCAGCCTTGGTCTGACCATGACTCCCCCTTCACCTCCCTCTCCTTTGTTCCATAAACTACAGTAGCTCCCTATTACTTTTAAGATAAACACCTCTATTTGCCCCCTTCCAGCCCCCTCTCCTCATGCTGTGATCTAGCCAGCCGGCCCACCGGCTCCTTTGGAAATTCTCTTGCTCTTCACGTCCACCTCCTAGAACATCCTTCAAGACTCAGCCCAAGCACCGCCTTCTACCAAAGACCTTTCCCAGCCTGCCACATGCTTATGCTTTTTGCTTGAAGGTTACCCTGGATTATCGAATGAAATAATAGACATATTTATATATAAAGTGCTTTATAAACCTTAAAGTTTCATATGAATGTTAGATATCATTATTTACTTTATACATGTCTTTTATGTATCTATAAATGTCCATATTGTCATCATTAAAATCTCCTTGAGGACACAGACTGTTACAGTTTCTTCTTTTTATCCTCAGTGCTTACACAGAGCCTGGTTGTACACAGTACATAAAATGATGGATTAAACAGAAGGATTCCTCAGGTTGACTTCCTTCTCCCTCAGGTCTATGATCTATGATATCCATAAACCAACAGCAGGACCCAGGAACTTAGCGGGCAATGGCACAGAGCAGACAATGAAGGAAATTTAGGTTTGTCAGTAAATCTTCCCATCAATGACAGCTGTCGCAAGGTGGGGTGGGCTGCCTTGGGTGGTGATGGTTATTCCTCACCAGAGGTCTGCAAGCAGAGGCTGAATAACCATTCGTTGAATATGTTCTAGTGAGGATTCTTCTATGGCTAGGGGTTGGATTGGACGGTTCCTGAAATCTCTCCCAACTCGCAAATTCAAATGCATTGATTACGTGAATAGGCCTCAGATTCCGAGGCTATCCTCTTGGGGATTGGGGAGGCGTTCTAGGAAAATCCTAGTAATGGGCAAAAGGAAGAATTCTGGACAAGTGAGGATAGATAATATCAGGAGCCCTTGAGAGCAGAAAAAGATACAGAAAGGCAGTTGCTTGGTTATCAGGGAGGTCTAAGGTGAATAGCAGGTAGGTGTCTCAGAAAGTGGGAGTGTATACAGGAGAGGATGGTTGGACGGCAAGTAATTGGCAGAAAATGGAAGCAAACAGTGAACAGAGACTGAGAGACAGGAATGGGGTTCAAGGATAAAACTCCAAACCCTGTGAAGACTGAGGAGAATAAGGTAGGGCCTCAATTTGGAAAAACTGGGGTATCATGCAGAGAAGCCTCAATCTTGTGGGAAAGGGTGAAGCAATAAGACAGAGACTTTGAAAAGTGGGGTAGAAACACCTGGTCACAAGAAACAAGAAAAGAACCTTGGTATTGGAGCTAGGCCACAAGGTCAAAATGAGACTGGCAACAGGCTTATTTGCCATCAAGCCACTGTTATAAAATCCTTATATTCTCCCTGCTGAGGGTATGGACTGGTACCAGAGCCTGGGACAGAGCCTGGGACAGACCGGCAAAGGAACCAGCCCAGTCATTGCAACAGGTAACCTTTCTATCAAAGACTGAGTATCTGCTTCGTCCTCCTCTCTTTCCAAAAAGCAAAATCTTTTCTGATTCTAATAAAGGCAATACAGATTCCTATACTGGAAGAGGAGATAGGAGGGCTCCTGTCACTAATTGAGTAATCCAAAATTCAATTCAAATGAGATAATGCGCATATAGCCTGTGTGAAACTGAAAGCACTACATAAATGTATATTAATCATAAGAACAATAACTCAAGAATGTGTTTGTGGATTTCACTGCACCAAGTATTCCATCTCAAAACTACATAGAATGAAAAGCTTGCAAAAT